CCTGAAGAAGCTCGGCATGATGTGTAAAGGGAGTCAAGGTGGCCTGTTTTATTAATGGAAGTTTATGTGCCTGCTTGCAGAGGTCAGGGAGCACTGTACATATCTCTGACCTCTCTCACCAGCTGGGACATCCATAGGGCTGCAGTAACACCTGTATAATTATGGAGGTGGGAGACAAAACCAGTTCCTGTACTTATGTACATAGAGAGCTTGCAGGTGTATCTTTTCCCTCCCACTCCATTCATTGCCATACCTATGACTGCCCTTGGGAAAGGAAGGCAGTGACATAAGCATTACACGTAGACCAAGTTGGAACAAACTCTTTTGTCAAAATCAAAACACTTCATGTAGCTGTATCCATTTTGAGAGAGGCTCACCCGCTATAGCCTGGTGGTTAGGGCACTGGCCTAGGATTGGGGACACCCAGGTTTCAGTCTCTACACTGCCTCTTTTAAAGCAAAGTTTTTCAACACTGATCACTCTGAATCAGGCAGAGCAAGGACTTGGATCTGGATCTCCCAGACCTTAACCACCAGTTACACCCCCCCCCCGCCCCCATTCTGTTTCAATTCAATAAGGGACATTTTGATGTAATCCCTTTTGTGCAAAAATGTTTGAAAAATTTTGTTTTCATTCCAAAAACATTTAGAACCCTCAAAAAGTTGCTGTGAAACAGAACGGAATTGTCATTCTGTAGTCAGCTCTAATTACATGGCCACCACAAGGCAGATGCTCGCCCCCTCGGAATCCATGTTAGCATCTAACGGTGTAACACCTAAATGGCCCACAGACACACACCTCCTGGGAACTCTGTGCAGAAGACTCAGCTGGACCCAGGTTTCGGCCTGCTCTGTGCAGCGAAGGTTGTTTCTACATCTACCTCCTTTGATTCTGGTCAATTCAAGGCCTAATGCAGCCACCAGGGATGCCTGGTGTTAACCTGAATAGATTTCCTCTTTTAATAAAGAGGGATATTAAGAATTAATTGGAGGTATTTTACAGTAAGACATGTTAAACACTCTTCTACCTCCTTTTATCTACAGTATTATGGAATTAGTGTAACATTTGCCTTTTGTCATAGAGACAGAAGCTTAGGCTAAAAGATTTTCAGTTTGCCTCAACTTTTTACATTTTGAAGGATTCTTAGTGCCAATTGCAGCTTTAGATGCTATTGGAAGCACATTATAAGGTTGCATAGGGTATTTAGCTTCTGAGCTCTCCTGACCACATCCCATTAAGTTAATTGAACCTGAGTATTGAATTCACAGCCCCTAAAAATTCTTCCTTTGAAATTTTCAGTTACATTTCTTTGTTCTTTTCAACCGTTAGTTGTTTTTTAATTACTCTTTTGTCAGAGCACAGGATCAGTGAACTAAAAGCCTTATCAATTACTCTTTCCTATTTGCAATTTGATTCTGAGATAGTCATCCTCAAATCTGCCTTGAACTTTCTTCTGAAAGTCAATTGAAGTTTTCTCTGGAATTACAGAAAAAGGCTACTGCCCTTTTACCTAAATTTGAAATATTCCCACTGCCCTTTTGTTCAATACATTGTGTTCATTCTCCTCAGATACAAAGCATCCAGTCTCTCTTCCTGCTTCTACTTTAAGAAGATGGGCTTTAAGACTTGAAGTCACAGGACTGGATTTTCCATTGCCTTCAACCTTTTATCATCCTTCACCCCAGTGTAACGTGGGTGTAAAATGTTACCATATCACAATGGTAGTACTTTTACACCAGTGCAAAATGAGTACAATGACCACACATGGGTGCAGTACAATGTAAAATAAGGCCCAAATTTTATAGGATAAAAATGCCACAATTTCCAGGCGCATGAGGACAAGAAATCATTATATTCTCTTCCTTTGCATGGAGATGCTCTTGCTGGTTTACCTAAATAATTTTTTAAAAGCTACAGTGATTTCCTAAGAAGAATAATTACAGCTTAATCTTTACCAGTCTGGCAAGGTGCTGTTTGTAAACCACAGATGCGCAAACGTTCTCACTGGAAGCTTTCAGAACAGATGCTATGAACTAGTTTTATCCTCCAGTATTTGGAATTATGTGCCACATTGTAACTTTACTTTATCATATTATATGTTTTCTATAACTGTAAAATTATATACAGAAATATGCTGTATGCCTTCTTGAATCGTCAAAAGAAAATACTGTAAAATTTTTAACTTAATGCTGACGTGAATCCTTTACTCATCCTGTTCAAAATAAAGCTATATTAAAATGAATACTTCCCCTTCTTTCTGGATATTTGGAAAAAATATATATATTACTATATGTAATATGACTATTCCCTGAACGCATGCTCATGTTGTTTTCTAACCCTACATGCTTTGAGCAGTTAGCCTTTTTAATTAAATTCGAAGGAGAGTTCTGACAGCTGTTGAACCCCCACCTTCCCTCCCAACCCCTGTACTGTTTAATGCTAAATGGTCCTTTTTTAAAATAAGTGACCATTGCCAACCTGAGCCAGATGGCAGCATTTACCACATTATTAGACTGCAACTTGCATTGCTGATGCATCTGAGCAGCAGTTCAACTCCTCTTCCACTGTACTATACTGATAAATGTATCAGACAATGAATCACCCTTGTGGTGCCTAATGCAGATTATTGGTAAGTAAATAAATGACATTGTCATCAGGGTTCATTTGTAAATACAGTTGAATTCTAAGCTGCAAACATGCTTCTTCTGGGCTTAAAACACAGAGTTTTCACTTTAAAAAAACACAGTATAGGCCCAGCCACGTAGTAATATTACTTAGCACTGAGGATCTCAAAGCACTTCAGAGAGGGTGGTGTCTATCCCCATTTTATCCCTTTAAGAACCAATGCCTGGGAAGGATAAGTCTCTTGCCCAAGGCAACCCAGTGATTCAGTGGCAGAACTGAGAAGAAAACCAGGTTTTCTGTCGCCTGGTCATGTGTCCTGTCCACCACCTACATTGCCCCCTTGTTAATACTTGGGATGTGAACTGTAAAACCAGATTTTTTTTAAATTAACAAAGTGGGTTAAATTACCTTTGTATATCATCCAAGGAGAAGAAAATCAGATGTTAGATCGCCACTTAGTGGAATGTTTTCTTGGCCAAGTTAGGCTGGATGGGAATTCTTGAGACCCCAGCTACTGCTAGCTCAGCAGCAGGGATCCATGTAAAGTGAAATTAGGCCTTTTCTCAACCAGGGAATGACTGACATGGGAATCAAATATGCATGTGCTATGGGATAGGTTAGCCACTGGGTCAGCCAACCAAACGTTTCCAAACTACAGTCCATCTGCTCATGGCTGAACGTTTTTTTTATTTCCAACTTGCCTTTTTCTACTCATGAACTGTTTTTGATCAGATTGTAAATGTGTAAAACAGTTCCTGGCTCTCAAACACACACAAACTGCTTAAAGCAGTGTTTCCCAAACTTGGGACGCCGCTTGTGTAGGGAAAGCCCCTGGCGGGCTGGGCCGGGCTGGTTTGTTTACCTGCCCCGTCTGCAAGTTCGGCCGATCGCGGCTCCCAGTGGCCGCGGTTCGCTGCTCCAGGCCAATGGGAGCTGCTGGAAGCGGCGGCCAGTACGTCCCTCAGCCCGCACCGCTTCCAGCAGCTCCCATTGGCCTGGAGCAGTGAACCGCGGTCAGTGGGAGCCGCAATCGGACGAACCTGCGGACGGGGCAGGTAAACAAACCGGCCCGGCCCGGCCCGGCCCGGCCCGCCAGGGGCTTTCCCTACACAAGCGGCATCCCAAGTTTGGGAAACACTGGCTTAAAGAATAATAAATAATAGACACACAGGATCACAAATAAGATACACATTAATAAAAGTGAGTAAGAAATACTTGCCTGCTTCATTTAGCAGAGGGATGGTCTAGGTGTTCCCATCAAAGTCAAGGAAGCCAGGGATGAGGATGGAGAAAGACAGGAGGAAGCAGGGACAGACAGACACACACAGTGAGATGGAGGGCAATGTTCTGCTCTTGTTTACACCCAGGGAATAGCTCTATTGATTCCAGGACCAGATCCCCAGCTGGTGTAAACTGGAGTAGCTCCATTGGCTGCAATATGTTGGCTTACGTTAGTTGAAGATCTAGCACTCTATCTATTGATGTAAATCGAATGTCTTCAGATTTTGGCTAACATAACAGAGCAGGATTTGGCCAGAATTTAAGAAGATGCTGAGACAGTTTCTGACAACAACTTGTGAGCTAAGTCACTTTTGATTCATCTGCAGTTACCTTGGCCACCAATTTGAAATTTAAGAGAAATGTGATGCGTATTTCAGAAATGACAGAGGTATAGCACCAGCCAAAGGTGGGAAACAAAAGGGTGAAGTTTTGCCCTAATATGTTGAGTGCCTGTTCCAGTCAGAGGAGCAAATGCCAACTCAAGAAAAAGACATGAAAGAAAGCAATGGCTTGCAAATCAAAATAAACCTTTGCTTTTTCCACTGGATCTCTGCTTATGGAAGGAGCAGATGCTAGAGGAAGAGTTCAGACCTCCTCCTTCAAGTTCCAAAAGCAGCAAACTACCCTCCAGCTGAAGCAAGAAATGCACTTTTAAAACGGTGGTGGCAGTTTTCCAGTGGCTAACCTGTATTGTCACAATCAATACAAGCAGGTGGCAATGATGGTTCTCTTCAAACTAATTACAGAAGATTGCAAATTGATTTTTTAATTAACCCCCTCCCTGAGTTAGGTGAGCTAGCAGCAGCTCTCCACCTGCTCTGTCACGCTGCTCAGCTCCTGAAACCATTCAGCCACCTTTTCTTTCGTGCCTTCCTTGTCTGCACGATCCTTCTGGCTCTCCTCAAGCTTCACTAACCGAGGAAGAAGAATCCCCCATGTCCTTCCCTCTGTCAGATACATATAGATCGAACTATTCACTGTGGCTAGGGATGTAATTGAACTTACCATGTTTATTTTAAATCCTGTTAATGTTTGTTTGCTGTTGCATTTTTAAATCAACTAATGGCTTTTTGTTTGTTTGTTTTTGTTTTTAGCTCCAGGTGGCAGAACTCAACTCTTGGGACATCTCCTCATCTGGTGCTGAGCGCTATGGAGTCTAAGCCTGGGTAAGTGATCCATAAAAGCTTCTAAGTAATATTATGGGGGCTTTCATTTAAATGTCTTCCTCATCCCTGTTCCCTTTTATCCCTTCCTCAAAGCCTTTCTGGCCAAGGAGAGATGGTCATGGCTCCCTCTCAACTTCAATGCTATTTCTGGATTAGCTAGAGCTCGATTAGGTCTTCTTTCTCCAACTCCCACCCCTATTCTTCAGTGTAGTCTTCCTCTCACCCCCTGAGGCTGCAGGCAAGCTCAGGACCCCAAGTTCCTATCCCTAGACAGCAGAATGACATGCTGCCACTTGAGCACTTCAAGGAGACACTATAAATCATTGTACCCTTCACAAAACAGCTGCAAGGGAAAAGAAAGTCACAGTGCCTTGCCAACTCAAGGGATTTGTGCCAGCCCCAGGTGGTGTGAAGCATAAGGCAATGGAGTGGGGTGACTGCTGACATTGCTTTAAGTGCACTAAGGATAGCAATTAAAAATTATGCTGCCTTTTGAGAGCAAGGCAAGTGTCATTTGGCACATAGAGTCAAGGGGCTGACAAGAGTGCCAGGTGAGTTTGAAAATCCTTTCAGGGGTTGCTAATAAACCTTTTCCCTGCTCCCATCCTACTTGGATGATGATCGTACTGAGTTAACCCGTGTTCTTTATTTGTCAGAGCTTGCCCAACAGGTTAGCTGCCTGCTTAAGTCTGTTATCCTGCATGCACCTATTTCTGGATATGGGGACTACCTCAGTTGACATGAAGGTTTGAGTTTTTTTGTTTGTTTGAAAGTCTCCCTTTACCATCTCTCCTAAATTTCCACTAGTAATCCTCTTCAATTACCTTATTTCTAATACTGTGGCTATATTTTTAGTAAGAAAAATAGTAGCATATGAGCTTAAATCCATCTGTGTTTGCAAGCATTTTACTGTGCATTTTTCAATCTAATTCTTCCACTGTTGTAATGCTCTTATTACACGGTTGCTTGTCAACAATTTCAGTCAACTTATGGTCTTTCATCTTTGACTTCTGAGTACTTCTAGATTTTGTGCAACAAATTCATCTTTTGTATGTTTACTTCATTTGGGAAATCTGCATCCTTTAACAAAAATATTACCCTAAATATTTATCTCCATGAGAGCAAGGCAAGTAAATGTTACAGCTAAACAGAGAGTGCTGGGAGTTTATACAGTGCACTGGAAAATGCTATTTAAGGGAGGGACTAAACAGCGTGGGTGGTTTAGTCCACAGGTAGGTCGCTAGTTCAAATTTATATGAGTGCAGCGGTAACCCATCTGATGGACTGTAGCTGTGAAATGAAATAAGCTTATGGGCAATCTCCAGGTCATAGCAGCTAGGGGCCAAACTAAAATATACAAATAGAAAAAACATCACCACAATGAACTCCCTCAGCCAGTAGAGGTTTAAGGAATGATTGTACATGGAGACTGATCTTTTTTTTATCTACAGGCACAAAAAGATGGAGGGAAAAATACTCTAGAAAATTAGGTTCTATGTTTAGAAAGAGAGAGTCCTCTTAACAAATTGAATTAATACTAGAACCATTAATGCAATATGTACTATTATGATTAATAGTTATTTTGGCAACCAAAAATGTTGAAGTGCCTCCCAAAATAGATAAAAGAAAGAGATGACAAGCTAATTTTAGACATGATGTAAAAAAGACAATAAGGTGGAGGTTGGGGTCAGAAGGACTGATAATGCAGGCTTCAGCTGAATTTGTAATGAGGTGGTTCACATTCTCCTTTCTAAACAAAGAATATGCAGACATATAACATTATGGTGAATGGGAATGCTAGTGGTTCTCCAACTTTTTCATTCTGCAAAACAGAAAAAAAAGATCTTCCCATGGACTGCTTCTCCTCCCAACTTCCGAATCACTCTTAATGTTCTTTGTCTGTTCTGGTGGTCCATGGAGAGTCCCTATCATACACAATTATGCTTTGCTAGTAAAACAAGGAACAATAATATAATCTGATAGCATTGTCGCTGAGATAAAGCATATGATAACTTATTATTTTAGTTGATCAGCAGGGTGGCCTAGTACAACACACTCCCCACTGGTGGCTTTCATTCAGCTTTCATTCAGCTCATCTCCTGGTTCCTGAAAGACACAACAAAGAAAAAACAACAAAGCATGGAAACTACTGCTATTAACCATGTTCTTAGCATGAATATTGCACCAGTAAACTCCGCTGAGAAAAAGCATAGGAATTGGATACACCACATGTTATACCAGTGCCTTACTGGTTCCATACTGGAGGCTCCATATGGTGATTTTTTTAGAAATAGGTATATCTACCCAGTTTAATAAAATACATATCTGCCACCAAATTGAAAGGAGTCTTGGAATGCCTCCAGTTACTGCAAACCATCCCTGCTTTGGACACTGCTAAGCCATTATTATTGTTACATATTATTTTCATTATGGTAGCACCTAGAAGCCCCATCCAGGATTAGGAGCCCATGGTGCTACGTGCTGTACATACACATAGCAAGCTCTTCAGGGTATGGACTCTTCCTAGCTACATATTCTGGCCAAGGGTTACCATACGTCCAGGTTTTCCTGGACATTGCCTCTTTTTTGAGCCTCTGTCCAGGCGGATTTTTCAAATAATAGACAGTCCAGGATTTTTTCGGACCAGATGGCTGAAGCTCAGAAAGAGCCCTGATTGGTCTGCTTCCCGATTGGTCCCTCCTCTGCATTGGCAGCTGATTGGTCCATTTCCCTGCAGCCACAGCTGCCAGATTCCACCTACCCAGGCCAGGCTCCCAGCGCTGGGGAGTGGGTTCCTCAGGGAGGTGCTGACTGATGGCTGTCGCTGTGTCCTGGGCTTGCTGCCCTGCCACCATGACAGGGAGCAACACTGCTTCCAACCTCCAGTGAGTACCCCTGCCACAGGTACCCTCCTTCAACTCCCCCCACCCCCTGCAGAGTCCTCTTTTTGGGAACCTGAAATATAGCAACTCTATTCTGGCCAGATTTAGTCCCCTAGAATTTAACTGAAGAGCACCTTGTTTGTTTGTTCTTGCAGTGAACAACATTGTGCCAAAAGGGCAGCTATATCCCAATCACTTTCATGGGAGAAAGGGAAAATGTCCCAGAATCTCTTTAGGTCTTCTCCCCCACCACATCCTCTGTCAAGTGAGACAGTTTATAACAATGTGCTGTTGGAATAAACCGAATTTATTTTTTCAGGAACAAATTGTAGACACTTCCAGCATAAACCACTTAATGTGTTTGTTTATCAAGTGGTGTTGCCTCCTTCCAAGGTGAAAGTGATTGGGGAAGCAAATATAGAGCTTCCCCAGTGTCTTATCCCTGTGTGTCAGAACACACACCCTGGTACCTGGGTTTATCACAGGCTAAGGTGGGTAATTTTTGAGGGAGCCCTTGCTGGACAATGGGGAGGCTATGTCCTGTTGTCAATGCATTCTTTCCCGGAGGTGCTATGCAAGGAATAATATCACTTTCACAGGTAAGAATGTATTCGGCCACCTATTTCTGACACCCAAAAGGCTGCATAAAGCAGGCCCAGGCCCCTTTCTGAGCCACCAGGGCCGGCTCCAGGGTTTTGGCCGCCCCAAGCAGCCAAAAAAAAAAAAAAAAAAAGATTGCGATCTGCGGTGGCAATTTGGCGGAAGGTCCTTCGCTCCAAGTGGGAGTGAGGGACTGTCCGCCAAATTGCTGCCGAATAGCTGGACCTGCCGCCCCTCTCCGGAGTGGCCGCTCCAAGCACCTGCTTGCCAAGCTGGTGCCTGGAGCCGGCCCTGTGAGCCGCACACAGTCTAGGAATGCCCAAACGGAGACATTGAGACTAGGGCCCTGAATATTCATCTGCAATTCCAAGGCAGCTTGGATCTCACAGGAGTGAGATCACTCAGGGAACTCGCTTCATACATTGTAGTGGTGTCTCTTCGAAATGTTCACATTACCGCTCCTCGCCCTTCCCGGAGTAAACAACATCCGCTGGGTTGCCTCTCTGAAGGCTGTGCAGATCAGCCTCCACTAGCTGCCGTTCTGTAGGAGGATCTCCTTGCCCTTCTGCAACCTCTGAGCAGCAGCACAGGCGCTGCTCGGGAGCCTGTGACTGATGTAAATTGTACAGATGCAGATGAAGGAGAGGAAGCTCTAACAGCCGCTGAATGCAGCCTGTGAACACTAGTGCTTCATTGATAGCCAGGATACCTAGGCATTTGCACTTGAAAGGGACAATAAAGAGGTGTCAGAACACTCACGAAGCTGCAAGATTTAAAACTGCAGCGAAGAACATTTTGTGCCATGTGAAAAACGTTGCGGGCGAGAGGTCTGTGTTTTATTGAAGCCTGTTCTAATGCGCCTTGTTTTATGCTACTGAATGGTTTATTTGCCTTCACAGCCTCAGGGGGTAAAGAGGGAGGGAAGCAAATTAAGCCCAAAGTGTAGTGACTAGTTAAAAAACTATACAAGGTGTGTCCGGGTTCTTTCTTATTTTATTTGATTTTTGCTTTTAAATAACATCATTGTTGTGCAGTAAGTTTTTTTTTCTTTTTTTGTTTTGTTTTGTTTAAAGCCAGTTCTCGAGGAATTCCACCATGAATTGGTGACTCAGTAATGAGCCGCTCCTGCTCCAGCCAAGCGCTGATGCACAGCAGTGGGGTTATCAATATGCTCCGCGCTTGCCTTTAGGTCTAGGACAAAAGGTAATTAGGCCAGATCCTGGGCTGGTCTAAATCAGAGTAAATCTCATTGGAGTGACACACATTTACAGCAGGATCTGGTCCATTAGTCTCCTGGTTTGATGTGTTGACATAGTAGTTCAGAGGGGAACACGGGGCCGGCGGGGGGAGGCCGAAAACCTAAAATGCCTATCTGTAAATCAGCAGTGAGTTACTGATTAACAAAGAATACCCGCCTCGCATTTAGCGTCCTGTTAAAAGCACAATAAGCTGTGATTGTGAGCATGATTATCTGTGAGTGTTGCTACTTAACAGCTGCAAATGCGAAAGCTTTGTGTG